CAGTTCCAAACATCATCAGCATTAGTATTGGGGATCAGTACTAGTACTTGTATTGGTAATTACTCGTGCTACTGTAACTTTACTTGGAGGTTCATGGGTAGTTATAAGTAGGGTTACAAGTAGGGTAACTATAATTATAACCCATGTTAGGGAACAGATAACCCAACTTATGACTACCCATAAACCTCCAAGTAATGTGTAACGAGATCTGGTTGGCCACGCAGCTCACGTGGGAAATGTATCCTCCGGACACGCAGGTCCTCCTTAATGCCGGCAGTTTCTGGGGGGCGTTGAGGGCGCAAGCAGAAGCACCGTGATCCTGTGGGGGGAAAGCATCTGGGCCGTGGTCCCGACTCTGCCAATACTTGCGGGGAAAGTTTTTGGGGCATATCCTGGTGGTCTCCGGGTCTCCTGCTGCTCTCGTGGTGGTCTCCTGTGTACTGCATCTCCTGGTAGTATCCTGGTGGTGTCCTGGTCTTCTCCTGGTGGCCCACTGGTTGTTGTGGTCCTGGTCGTTGCGGTCGTGGCGGTGGTCGCGGTCGTCGTGGTGGTCGTGTTTCCCGGTCACAGTTTCGGGATCTATACAACATCCTATGGTGGGCCATTGATTCCCTTGAAGGGGATCTTGAAACATCGGCTCCGAGCTACGCCTTTACAGCTGAACATTGCCTGGATCGTCAGAATGTATACGACTATACTCAGGGAAAACATGTTCACGAATAGCCTGGTAACGTTTGCTCTGCTCCAGATTCCATGTAAATGCCACATAGCCGGCACCTGCAGGATCTTGGTTCCCCAGCATGCCCTTCGAACAAGCGCATATAGCCTTTAACCCAAAATCATAGTGTTGTAAAGAGAATGCTAACAGTTTCACTAACAGTAAACATAACAATAACAAACAACACTAAAAACAACAATAACATCAATCATACACATAATAAGAAAGATAGAAACTGAATGCCCTACTCGCATTTCAAGACAGCTGGATCCCACGTCGTCGAGATCCCAAGCCATAATTGCCCTAATACCGAAGCTGAAACCCCACCTGCTATACCCAAACCAAAATTGAAGTGACAGTTTAGGGTTTAGGGCGTTTAGGGTTCAAGGTGGGAGAGGGAGAACCTGGGGTGATGTATTGGTTCTTGCTAAATACGGCATTCGATTGAAGCTGCCATAATAGGGACTGGGATCCATGGTAAATGAAAGGGCTTCCTGCTTAGGTAACTTGAAATAAAGCCTGAAACTCAAAGTTTCCCGATCAAGAACCCAGTTTAGGGCTCAGGAAGGGGGCCGTGAGGGCGGTGAAACCCTAAAGCGAACCCGCAAAACCCAACGATGTTCACCCAATCACGTCTAGGTTTCAACACCAGCCTGCTTTGAGCTTCACGTCTAGTTTTAACCTTAAATTTAAACCGTAAACCCTGAAGCCAAGGGTCAAGACTGGGTTTAAGCCAGACTTATCCCTGACGGAAGGGTCGAAGTCATTCACACTTTAGACCCAAATACGTCAAGATCTACCTTAACCCCGAGTAACCTACCTTTTTAAGGACTTATATAAAGAAGTCATAATAACGAACCCTAAAAAAGTAGGTTCTTTTCCAGGTAAGAGTTCATTTATAGGGAAAAATGCGTTATGTTCCTTGGGTAAGCTAATCCCGAAGAGTCCAAGTCCGTGTACCGTAATAGCATGCATTTTAGGGTCGTCCCTGTATGGGTAATTTGGGGCCAGAGTATATACTAGCTGGGTACATGGACCCTGACGTAATGAGTTATCTTTCTTCCCAAAACATGCTAGGTGCTTTCAGCAGGCACTGTTAAAGCTGCGTTCGCCGGTGCGCCACAAGAGCGAGATGCAACGCGCGACAGTGCCGGCACACATGAAGAACACGTACCTGCCCATGGGCCAGGTTTCACAGGGACTGCAAATCGCATGTAGGGAAGTGGTGACTGTATCATGTTGCCGTTTTAGATTATGAAGTGTTTCGCCCAGGTCTTTGTGTAAGCCTTGCATGGGCGGCGCACACGGCGGTAAGGCGGCGCACACGGCGGCGCGGTTCATTCAACATTCTAACTCTATATTGAGCTTTCCTCTCCCGTCCCCCCCCCCCCCCCCCCCC